AATTATAAGGACTTTGAACCACTTTACTTAAATTTTCTGATTTGTAACCTGCCTTTCCTTGTTTGTTGGCATCTGTATAAAATGTATGAACTCCAGATATTGGTTTTTCCCGGACAATTCGAGGCAAGATCCAATCAGCTCTCTTTATAAGATCAATTATAAAGCTTTTGGGATATTTGCTGTTAATTTCTCCCAAAAAATTACTGCAAGCTCTTTGCCAAGGTTCACTTTCTCTCCATAATTTTTCAATGTCCTTCGTAGTTAAAGGTACGACAATTTCTGCTGTGTCTATTCCTGCTAATTGATGAAGTCTCAATTTTCCTTTCCACATCAAGTCAGAGATTTTTTTCCCCATAAGTTTTTAAATTTTTATTTGGTTTATTTGGTAAAAATATCTATTTCAATATAATATCTTCCCTCAGCATTAATATTCCAGTAGGAGAATGCCTAGAAGGTAAAATAACCAAAATGCAATCCAGCTTTGGATCAATACGATCCATGAGCACTTCATGTACTTTCTTTTCTACCAAGGCTAATTCTTTGTCAGCTTCAGGTGATAATTCTCTTGGACTATTTAAGTCCTTGTCACATTCATAGGTATTGAACAAATTGGTCAATTCATCATTTTTTACCCCAACAATAGTTTGTAGATGAGAAATATCTCCAAATAATCTTTAAAAGTCATTAAGAGTCTGTAGTCTATCTCTCCTAATTTGCAACTTTTGGGGTCTAACCTTTGTAGTTCTATTTCATATGCTAAATAATTAATAGAATCTCCTCATTGTATCTTTTCAGGAGTAATTTGTATTCTCCAGCAAGGCAAATTTTTCTTTACTTCTTCAAACATTCTTTCAGACATATCTGCATTTGAGTCAGTTAGTAAAATATCATCCGTATAATGATAAATTATAGATTTAGGAATTTTTTTATGTATCATTTCCAATGGCTGTTGTACAAAATATTGGTACAGAGTTGGGCTATTCAACATTCCCTGTGGGAGGACCCTCCATTGAAATCTTTTAACCGTTTGAGAATTATTATAAGTAGGAACTGTGAAAGCAAATCTTTCTCTGTCTTTTTCTTGTAAGGGTATTGAAAAGAAACAGTCTTTTAAATCAATAACTATGAGAGGCTATTGTAGATGTAACCAACCATCTTATTAAATAAGAAACACAGAAACAATGTAAAAGAGAAAGCTGAGAGGTCAGAGCTCAGAGCTAAAATCTCACCCTTCCGCCTGCGGTGTCCCAGCTTCCCGAAAGAGACCTTTTTCCTGTCTGTATGTCTTTTTTATAGTATTATTGTTCTGCCTTCTCATTGGTTGTAAACCCAAACACATGACTGCCTCGTCACTGTCTGAATGTACAGCCCCCTAGGTCTTAAAGGCATATGTCTCCAATGCTGGCTGTATCCCTGAACACACATAGATCTATGAAATTAAAGGCGTATGCCACCACTGCCACACTCTTGCTATGGCTCTAATAGCTCTGACCCCCGGGCAACTTTATTTATTAACATACAATCAAAATCACATTTTACTACAATTAGAATACCACCACAGGCTATCATTTTGATAACAGAGTAGGCAAAGGAATTCCAGATTTTAGAGAGCCCATTGGCGGAATTATTTGCTAATTGCTGTAAGGTCTGTTACCATTCTCCATTTACCAGATTTCTTTTTAATATCCAATACAGGAGAATTCCAATGGCTGGTTGATTCTTCAATATGCTGAGCATTTAACTGTTCTTCTCCCAGCTCTTCTAAAGCCTGGAGTTTCTCTGTTGTTATGGGCCATTGCTGAACCCATACAGGCTTGTCTGTTAACCATTTTAAAGGTAGAGCTGTTGGTGTCTTTGGAAGATCATCAGTTGTTTTGCCCTGTTCTTGTATAATATGGATGGTGGGTGACAACTCATTAGAATAATATCTTCTAATATTTCTCTCACAAACATGTGCTAGTTTATGATTTGTTTCTGAGGTTGGAGGGATGTTAATCTAGTATTCCATTGTTGCAACAAGTCTCGACCCCACAGGTTCATAGATATGTTAGTCACATATGGTTTTAAATTTCCTCTCTGTCCTTCTGGACCTATACATTCGTGCCATCTTGCACTCTGCTTCACTTGAGAAAATGTCCTAATTCCTAACAGTTGAACATTTACCTCCTGAAGAGGCCAAGTTGGATACCAAAATTCTTGTGCAATTATGGTAATGTCCACATCTGTGTCTACCAGATCAGACAACAAAACACCATTTATTTTTATCATTAATTTTAGTCTTTGTTCATTAATAGAAGTTTGCCAATATATTTTCATGTTTTCTCCTGAATTTTCTATTCTCTCTGTTTCATCATCCTGACCAGCATGATTTATTCCAATAGGCATTTGGTTATTTAATTGCTCCTAGTAGGGGTTTCCTCTATGACTGCAAGGAAAGGTTTGAACGGGATTTGCTATGTGGTCCTGCATGAGGCCCCTCTGGGAGTTTCACGAACCTGAGGCAAAGGATTAACTTGCCTGTCCCTTGTTGATCTACATTCGTTGGTCCAGTGTTTTCCCTTACCACACCTTCTGCATACTCCAAAAGGAAGGAGCATTCTGTTACCATTGTTCCTTGAAGAAACACTGTTTCTAGGAATGACCTGTTTGCAGTCCCTTTTCAAATGTCCTTGCTTTCCACATCCAAAACTTCTAACATTCCTCAAACCTTTTGAAATTGATTCTCCTACCCACATATCATCATGGTCATGAGCCTCAACATTACCCATGTCTCTAATCCAATTCCCAAAGGTGCAGATTTTGCCTTTAATGGCCTGATTATTCTTTTGCATGCTGCATTCGCATTCTCAAGGGCCAAAGATTCAATTATTCCCTTACTAGCTTCTGAATCTGAGACCATTCTCTTTACTGCTGAAGCCAGTCTTTGTAAAAAATCTGTGAAAGTTTCTTTTGGGCCTTGCATAACCTTTGTAAATGACTCAGTTTTTTTCCTTGTCCCTCAACTCTGTCCCATGCATTCAAGGCTGCCATTAGACATAAAATTAGAATTTGGACATCATATAAACTTTGTGTTTGTACTGAAGCACATTGGCCTTCTCCAATAAGCTGATCCTGGCAAACTTGTATTCCTTTATCCCTCCATTGTTTTTCTATGTTTTTAGCTTCATCCTTGAACCAAGTTAAAAACTGAAGCCTCTGGCTGGGTTCAAGAACAGCTTGTGCCTGCTCCTGCCAGTCTTGTGGTACAATCCTATTATATGTTGACCAAGAGTTTAACATTTGCTTTACATATTGGGAATGCATGCCATAAGATACTATTGCCTCCTTAAACCTTTTTAAATCCAACAGTTCAATTGGAGCCCAAATATTTTGTGTAGCCATTTGATCAGGCATCTGCTGTACAGTTACAGGATAAATTAAGGGTGACTGTGTGAAAACAGGTTTTCTTTCTGTAACCTTATGATCCAAACTTGAACCAACTTCACTGTTAATTTCTTCTGTCTGAATTTTTACAGGTTTAACAAGTTTTTCTAAAGCTGTCATCCTGGCACTTAAATTGACTATCCTTTTAAATAGTAAAATGAGGATAAGCATAGTAATAAACTGCATAATTAGATCAATATAAATCTTCTCATATAGTTGTTCCATTGTCAGACTGCCTAAAATTTCAAACAAAACCCATTCTTCCAATGTACAACATAAAACCAATTTTTTTTAAATGTGGAAAAAATTCTCTTTTAAATAGTTTCCTTTAAAATATCTGATATGTTGTGTCTTACCAAATCTGCATAGAACAGTATAAATCTGAGGGAATTTCCAAATAGCTGCCTAGCCTCCGAGGTGTGAATCCAGAGAGAAAGAGAGAGAGAAAGCAAGAAAGTGTAACCATGTGTTCTGGCTAAAAGCTTTAATCCAGCCACATGTTCCTGCTTGAGCTGAGTCAAGCCAGGGCTCTGGATTCCTTAAGCTTAGACCAGACCACATGTGTTGGCGTTTCAGTGTAGCCATTGCAATTACACTCAAGTGCTGCCAACTGGGCTGTTCGTAGCACTGCTGTAGCTATGGTTGTTCAGGCCTTTGGGCCTAGGCTGAACTAGGCCTGAGCTAGGGAGCCGGGCCCCCTGAGGCAGGAAACCAGGCCTGATGCCAAGCCAAGCCCAACAGTTTTTAGTGAAGTCTTGCCATGTTTGGCACCAAATGTAGATATAACATTCTTATTATTAAATAAGAAACACAGAGCCAAATGCAGAGTTAAGAGCCCAAGAAGTCAGAGCAATAGCTAAGTGCAGAGACTTAAAACCACCTCCTTACCCTTCTTGCCACTGCTGTCCTTCCCCTCAGCAAGCGACCTATTTTCTGTGTATTTGTCTTTTTATTGACTTTCTGTTCTAACTTGGTTCTCATTGGTTGTATACCCAACCACATGACCCCCTCATCAATGTCTATCTATAGAGACCTTCAGGTCTTGTATGGTTGGTATTGAGATTAAAGCCATGTGTCTCCATGCTTGTTGTATCCTTGAACACACAGAGATCTGTCTGCCATGAGATCTGGATTAAAGGTGTGGGCCACCACCGCCTGGTTGCTATTAGCTCTGACTCCCAGTCAACTTTACTTATTAACATACAAATAAAAATACATTTCAGTACAAATAAAATATCACCATAGAACTGCTTCTCAAAAGCCAGAATGCTTATCCAGCTAAAAGCTTCTAGTTTCTGGTCTTCATGCTTTATATACCTTTCTGCTCTCTGCTATCACTCCCTGGGATTAAAGGCCACTTCTTGGGATTAAAGGTGTGTGTTACCATGCTTCGCTGTTTCCAATGTGGCCTTGAACTCACAGAGATCCAGAGGGATTTCTGCCTCTGGAATGCTAGGATTAAAGGTGTGAGTGCCACCATTTTTCAGCCTCTGTATGTTGTGGCTGTTCTGTACTTTGACCACAGATAAGTTTTTTAGGATGCACAATATTTTGGGGAACACAATACCATAACAACACTTCTGAGATTTCCAAGAATTTCTTCATGAATTTGAGTGCATGAAGTTGCAGCAGTAGAGAGTATCCCCCCATGTCTGAGAAGCTGCTGAGTTCACAAAAGTTAAACTTTTCACAAAGATACTCTACCTTAATTGTTATTATATCACTTGGAAAATTTTAAAGCTACCTTCACCTAGGGGCTACTTCTGTCCTCTGTTTTAACTAATCTGGTGCTGTGCTCAGTCATGGAGGTTTGACAAAGTAGAGTAATATTGACATATAACCAAATATAGAAAATGTGGTATTTTATTAAGGTTCATTATTAGGGTCATGTGTGTCAAATCATTTTGGATCTGAAGAACCAAGTGAACAATATCCAAGGACTTTGACAAAGAAACATCCTTTATAGCCAAATTGGTATCACTGAGAGAAAGGATGAGACAGTTAAGTGGTTCCACATAATTTGGATAAGGTCACAATAATATGTTTTTATCAGAGGAAACTGATCAGTCACCCAATTGCAGTTAGGTTTTGTTTTAGACATTAATTTTTGTGTGCATGTCCAATATACAACTTTAAAAGTAACTTGGGAACAGTATGAGGATGTTTCTATATCAGGGTGTCTGTTAACTAATTGATTATTTGTGCAGGTTTCTAGACTGGAATAAAAATTCTTCGTGTTGCATGAAATTTTCATATGATTATCTAATTGGTTAGATGCAGTCCATGCAAATACATTCAGATGATTTATTATATGAATGTGGTGTTATTGTGTTCCCCAAAATACTGTACACCCTAATAAACTTATCTGGGGTCAGAGACAGAACAGCCACTAGATACAAAGTCTAGAAAATAGTGGCACTCACACCGTTAATCCTAGCACTCCAGAGGTAGAAATCCCTCTGGATCTCTGTGAGTTCAAGGCCACATTGGAAACAACCAGGCATGATGACACACACTTTCAATCCCAAGAAGTGAGCCTTTAATCCCAGGGAGTGATGACAGAAAGCAGAAAGATATATAAGGTGTGAGGACCAGAAAATAGAAGCATTTGGCTGGTTAAGCTTTCAGGCTTCCAGCAGCACAGTTCAGCTGAGATCCACTGGGGTATGAGGACTCAGAGGTTTCCAGTCTGAGGAAACAAGATCAGCTGAGAAGTTGGCCAGGTGAGGTAGCTGTGGCTTGTTCTGTCTCTCTTATCTTCCAGTGTTCACCCCAATACCTGGCTCAGGTTTGATTTTATTAATAAGAACTTTTAAGATTTCTGCTGCTACAATTTCCTTTACAGTCAGTGTGAGAGATAACTTCATGAGTAGAAAATAAACTATTTCTTTTACAAAATTTAAATTTATAATTTTAATTAGATGTGATGTAGCTGAATTTCTAAGTGGTCTTATTAAATAAAGTACATGGAGCCAAATATAGGGGTGAAAGCCTTAGAGATCAGGAAAATAGTGAGAGCCACCAACCACCTTACCTCACCAGCTCTGTAGCTTCCAAAATGCAAGCTACTTCCTGTCTAACCTGAACTTTTGTTGCCTTGCTTTTTGGCCCTCTCATTGACTCTTAGCCCAGCTATCTCACTTCCTTGTTACTGCCTGTCTGTACAGCCCTCCAGGTTTGTACTGGGATTAAAGGCATGTGTCACCATGATTGGCTCTGTTTTCCTTGAATACACAGAAACTCTGCCTGCCAAGTGATCAGATTAAGGGCATGTGCTACCATTGCCTGTCTTTTGTGTTTACCTTAAAATGACTTGCTATTTCCTCTAATCTCCAGGCAAACTTCATTTATTAACATACAAATAAAATATCATCACATTTCCCCACTTTTGTCTAATAAAAATAAAAAATAAAAAAGTTATAAATAATATAATGAAAAATATATACAATAAGTCCAATAACTATATACAATATATACAAGCAATAAATACATCAACAATATCTAGTCCTTTTGCATTTGACAATTTTAGAGAAAATATTCCATTATCTATCCTATTTTGGTAAGTCTAAAATGCACCTGATTCACTTTCTATCCTAACTTATATTATTAACAGTGAACTATCTTTTAATGTCTTTCAAATTTACACACTTTACACCTCTTAGTGAGTTTCTTTTCTGAAATTTCTTAACAAGGAAAATTGTTACTACAACTATCTAATTTTCAACTCCCTCAGAGATCCAAGAAGGAAATAATATTACCTAGTAAAAGAGGAAGTGCAAACAAGTGACTTTAAAAAGATGTGAGTTGACAAAAACAGCCATCTGCCTGGACAGTCACCTGAGGTTTCTCCACAATGTTGGGGCATCATCTTAGGCCTACAGACTTAGCATATCTGATAGACTCATTTTTGAAATAGGGTGTATACAAAGCCTACAGCTCGACCTCACATTTGGCTTGATGAAATCATGTACCTGATAAACCTGAATTCCACCATTGTCTGTCTTGTCATGATTCAGGATTTTAAATTCTGGAAATTGCTGGTGTGTTTGGAATTTGGCTGCCTATTCTTCTTGGCTTGTGAATGGCTTCATCACAGCATCCCACTCTTCTCGGCTTTTGGGTGGCTTCATCTCCTTTATTAAATACCAGTCTACCATTGAGAGATTACACTCCATCAACCTATTTATTCCTTCAAGAATAACTCTTTCAGCAACTGTTCCACTGCACACCAGAAGCCATTGGTCCACTGCCTGTTCAGCCGCCTTCAAAGAAAGGGGCACTGTACCTTTTCCTGATTACAAAGCCACTTCAGTAATGATGCCTTATTTCCCTGGCCTCAGAGGACACCTGATGAGAAAGCCACAACCACACTTGTTTTGGCAAGGATTGGTAGTTCTTTTTTTTTTTATATATATCCTGTTTGTGGTGATATTTTATTTGTGCTGAAATGTGATATTTTATTTGTATGTTAATAAATAAAGTTTGCCTGGAGATCAGAGGTTACAGTGAGCTATAAACAGAAGTGAAGCAGTGGTAGCACATGCCCTTAATCCGATCACATGGCAGGTAGAGTCTCTGTGTGATCAAGGACTCAGCCAAGCCTGGTGATACAGGCCTTTAATACTAATACCAAACACAGAGATGTGGAAGTCTGTATAGACAGGCATTGATGAGGAAGTTATGTCGTCGGGCTTAGAGCCATTGAGAAGGCAGAACAGGAAGGCAATAAAAGCGCAGATTAGACAGGAAGAAGCTCTCTCTTGGGAAGTTACTGCATGGTGGTAAGCAAAGGCTAGTTAGTCATTGACATTTGCTATTTCTCTGATCTCTTTGGCTATTAACCCTGTATTTGGTTCTATGTTTCTTATTTAATAAGACTGTTTAGAAATTCATCTACATTTGGTACCCAAGTGGCAAGAATATATTTAAAAACCATTGGTAGCCTTACAGGGCAGGGGTTACAGGTCCCAGGCCTGGCCAGAGCTACAAGTGGTCTAGCTACATAAAGATGGAGCTACTTGTGGTCAGATCTCCAACTCACATGGCTGGAGCGTAAAGGAAGCCTAGCTACAAGCAGCTCAGGCCCAAAATAGCTCAAGCTGGAGCATGTGGCTGGACTTTAGCTTTTAGCTTTTTTCTTCTCCTGGTAGATAAAAGGCTCTCTCTCTCTCTCTCTCTCTCTCTCTCTCTCTCTCTCTCTCTCTCTCTCTCCCTCCCTTTCTTTCTTTCTCAATTGCAATCTCAGACTGTAACCATGCTAGGTAGCTGCTTTGAAATTCTCTTGGACTTCCACTGTTCTATGAAGACTTGGTAAGACAATTAAGATGTCAGATATCTTAAAGGGAGAAACTACTTAAAAGCAAAATATTTTTTGCACATTAAAAAAATGGGAAGTATCTTTACAATGGAAGAAAATTGGTCTTTGTTTAATGAAACATTAGGCAGTCTGAAAATGGAACAATAACATGAAAGGATTAATGTTGATGGGATGTATGTAACATCAATTATGCAAATTATTTAATTATCTTTCTTTTACTATTAAAAAAGATGGTCAATTTAAGTGCCAAGATAAAACCTTTAGAAAAACCTGTTAAAATGAATTATAGAGAAATTCAGACTCAGACATAAGAATTTAAGGGTGAAATTATTTCAAGATTGGTTTATAAGGTCACAGAGAGACAACCTGTTTTCAAACAATCAAACTAAATTTATCCAGTAACCATACAGGAACAACCTGTTTTCAAACAATCAAACTAAATTTATCCAGTAACCATACAAGAACTATCTGACCAAGAGCACGAATGAACTAATTGGACTCCAGTTGAAATGTTAGATTTGAGGAGATTGAAGGGAGCTATAGTATCCTGTGGTATACATTCTCCATTTGTAAACCAAATGTTAAGACCTGTGGTCAACTTGTAATAGGAGAGGAATGAATTAGAAATGGCTGTCCTGGAACCCAGAGCATGATTATAGTGGTGTACTTGGTATAGAGACAAGGCTAAGACAACAGAAAATCGGTGTAGAGCTAGAGGTTTGGAAATTTCCCATAATCACCTTTATGGAGAAGACCAATGCACTGGAATACTAAGACAATGTTTATATGATAAC